TCCAGCTTCCGGAAGAGGACCGCTTCACTCTCTCTGAACAAAGGTCGACCGTGGTACCATACTGCATAACAATAAGCCAGAGTGTGTTTTCCTGAGGAAAAATAAAGATAAGGCAGTGTCTTATTTTCTGGGACACATGGTAGATAACAAAGGAGTTGCAGCTGGCTGGCCTGGGGGTTCCGAGAGGCGACAGTAACCCTTCCGCAAAGCGCTCTGCCCCGGGCACTGCTTGATGGAGGCTGAATTCGTATGGAGTCATACATGGATTTAGGTGTTGCACTGTGGATCACACATCGGCTTTTGTAAATTTAGTGCTCTGAAATTTAAGCTCTAATACATAGTCTGTACCCACATTTTTTTCATGGCAATGTTGTTAATACTTGGTGTAATTTTGTAAGTTCTTAATCTTCAGAATATTTTTGACATTCTGAATTTCGCACATCTTTATATTCAGTAAATCTCAATCAATTAATATTATTGGCTTAATATGATTTTTGTTTTAACACGGGAGACAGCAACCCTTGACAGAAGTTTAGATGATGGATTTAAATTCGTCATCAAAGGGGGCAATGGTGAGCGTGTGGAGAGGGAACAGTGTGTGCAGAGGACTTGTGGCCGAAAGGAATAAAGTATGCCGATTAAGAGGAATTGAAGAGATGGATAAGTGGGGCCACACCAGGCAAGGCCCGGTTAGCTGTGTAAACTTTTGTCTTTGGCACAAGGCTGAGAAGCAGGGGAGTAATAAGTTGTTCTGCTTATTTATTGTACATTGGTGTGGGGTGAGGAGAGCCCCCCACAAATCATCACAGGTCCGGTAGGCACAATTGTACAGCGATGATAAGTAAAGATTGTAGTAAAGTCATAGAGAGCGTGCGAGGTAGAGGAGAGATTGGAATAATGGAGTCCGACACAATTCATGGTAGCATGCTCACCTCAGCCCCGCTTGGCAGTCCTCATGGGGGGAGCCCAGGCGCGGGAGCAGGAGAGAGCCCCAATTTTACTGCTAACCAAGGGTTCTATCTCCTTCCGGGGGCATGGTTACAGGTAGCCACACGTCACAGGAAGGGGCAGTACAATAGGCAAACACATTGTAGGAAGGGGATCTATGATAGGCATGAGCGTGACAGGAAGGGGATGAGCTAGGGGTGTGCCCATAGGAATGGGAAGGTCTAGGGGTATACATGTGACAAGATGGGCGGACCCTCGATCCATGATGGCAGCCTAACCTTGGTCATCCTTGGGCGGGCTTGACCTCTGGTGTCTCCTACAAGGAAACAGACAACTACTATCCTTATCAGAAGGGAGTGGGCCCTACTTGTTGATGGCTGATAGTTCTTAGGGAGAATGACCCCTAATCTACTGATGACCTCCAAGTGTACAGGCATTCGCAGCAGCTAAGTTTGGCATATATTTGGGGGAGATAACTTGGGAGAAATCCTTCTGTTTCTCACACATTTGATTACTCAAAATTCAAAATATGATGATTAAATTTGTAATGAAATCTAGAGCGATATGGCTCGGGTCACCCCTCGCCGAGTCGACGCTGTTGGTCCGTGTTTTCCGGGAGAGAATCTGCGTTTTGCGGGGTTCGCCACTGAAGCGCCCCGGGCGCGCTCCGTATGGGCGCGCTCCACCTGACGCCGCGGGACGGCCTGCGTGCTGGCGGGAGCGCGAGGGGTGGGGCCTAGCAAGCCGCGTGTGATTGGCTGTTGGGCAGGCGTATGTTAATATAGCAGTAACTTAATGAAATATTTTTGGAAGCTCAAAAGTGCAAAAATGCGTTGTCTAACTTTAGCACTTAAGTAGAAGACTTAAGAAAACATTATGCTTATATTTTTGAGAGAAATGATGACACTTAAGAAAGCTCGTCATCACTCTAATATGTGTGGATTTTGCTCACTCCGGAGAGGCTGGGTCTTTAACACTAAGACTATACTTTCAGGGATCATTTCTATAGTTCGTGACTAGAGAAGTTTCTCTGACCGTGTAGAGCACCGAAAACCACGAGGAGGAGGCGCAGCATTCTCTCCTGAGCGTGAAGCCGGCTCTCGGCGCTGCCTCACTGCAGCTGCCGCTTGCCATTGATGATCGTTCTTCTCCGCCCTCGGGCGGAGTGAGAGGGAGAGAGTGCAGTCTGAGTGGCTTTTCAGTGTCTTAGAATGACCTTTTTGGCTTAGTTTTTTGGTGCCATTGCATGTAACGCCGTGTTCCCA